CATACTTAGCTACATCTACTAGCATATTTAGCTACTTATACTAACATGCTTAGCTACATCTACTAGCATATGTAGTAACATACTTAGCTACATCTACTAGCATATTTAGCTACATCTACTAGCATACTTAGCTACATCTACTAGCATATTTAGCTACTCATACTAGCATATTTAGCTACATCTACTAGCATACTTAGCTACATCTACTAGCATTTTTAGCTACTCATACTAGCATATTTAGCTACATCTACTAGCATATTTAGCTACATCTACTAGCATATTTAGCTACATCTACTAGCATATTTAGCTACATCTACTAGCACATTTAACTACTTGTACTAACATACTTAGCTACATCTACTAGCATATTTAGCTACTTCTACTAATATACTTAGCTACATCTACTAGCATATTTAGCTACATCTACTAGCATATTTAGCTTCATTGGTTCCTCTGACGGTGAAGCGATGAACAACCTGAACAGCTCTGAGGTGTGTCAGTATCTACACAGTAACGACACACAGGTGGTGTTTTGTTAAAAGAGGTGGGACACAATCTTATTGACCTTAAAGCCGACAGAGTCCAGTCAAAGCCTTAAAGTCCTCCATCACTGAGTTTGAGTTAATTACAGAGAAAATCATAAAACTGAAGATGAACACATACCATAAAGCTGTGACCTCCATACACTTGAACTCAGACCTGATGTTCTCGTCACTGTTTTCAATCCTTCTGAGGGTCCGGCGTCTCTTCTCCGGTGTTTTATTGTAGTCCAGACACAAAGCAGGATGCAGATTTTTCTCCGTCGGCTGTTTGTCAACAAAGTGAAATGAGCACACATACTGCGTTTTGGATGGTCTCTTCAAGTTCACATTTTTCAGCCACATTCTTCTTAATTCCTCATCTGTAGGCAGGAGATGGAAACTGTATCGCTTTCACAGGAACACTCTTTTTGTTTTGGGTCCATGTCCAAAACTCTGTTGTTGTAGCCACCAATTTAGTTTTGTCTGGTTGTTCTGCAGCTCTGAACGTGAACACAACAGGTACCTGAACGCAGCACGGCTATTTTAGTAAACTTTACGGTTGTTAAATAAATGCGAACAAAACAAAAACAGAGTTTTATCTGCTAAACTGAATGTAAATTGCTTTCAAATAAACCGCGGGCCATTCTGCACTACCATAGTTAACCAATGCTTACTGCTACTTCCTGTCTGACAGGAAGTAGTACCCAGAATCATTTATACAGTAGAGCCCACATGAATAAGTGGATACATGGATGTTGTAGTTTTACTGCTTGTTTTAGTTTCTTCTCCACAGATCATTAAAGAATGTGAGATCAGTGATTTTTATTGTGGATGCAATTCACAAGTTGACCACTAGATGTCACTAAAGTCCACACAGTTCTCCTTTAGGTGTTTTTTTTTTTTTTTTGGGGGGTGTAATGTTTGGTCAAATTCCCCCTGTTAGTGAAGCTCTTTGAAGCCGCCTGATTGGTTTATTCTCGTCACTGAGATGTAACGATAATAATAATAATTTAGAAATTTTATTTTTAACTGGAGTTGTTATGCTCCTCAGAGAACGCTTAAGAAACTTCAGAGATTTCTCCGAACGGTTCCTGGGGGAAACGTCTCAGCAGCACAAGCAGATTCTGATCCGGATGGGCCTGGAGAACTTCTGTGTGGAACCCTACTTCTCCAGCCTGAGGAACAACATGACGGAGCTGGTGGAGGTCCTAGCTGCGACGGCTGCTGGGTTGCCGCGGCAACACTACGGCTTCTACAGGTCGGAGACGCTCGCTCACCGTTTTGCATTTAGCTGAATCTAAACCCGAACTGATGGTGTCGTCTGTCGGATGCAGGGAGCCGTCCGCGGCCTCGCCGACCCCCCAGCACGGACCCGTGTCCCAAGAGGTGTCTCGCCATTGCATCATCCTGGCCAGGTTGCTGGCCTACAGGACGGGTCAGAACGTTCCCCAGAGTTTAACTGCTCAGACGACACGTTTGGAAACTTGAGCTGTTTTAACTGAAAAAATGTAATTTTGATTCCAGAGGATCCAAAGGTGGGAGTGGGTGCCGTTATCTGGGCTAAAGGGCGGTCGGTAAGGTCTTCTTTTTATTCACTTACTACCGTATTTTCCGCCGTACACGTCGCACCGCCCTATAAGTTGCATCTGTTATACGTCACCGTTGACAACCTGGAAATGTGGGCGTTGCTAAATGGCGGCTGCGGGAGTGTGCACGGGAGGACTTTAACAAGACTTTAACAAGATTAACACTTAAAAACAATTATTTGTTTGCTTGACATTATGTATGTATGTATGTATGTTTTATTTATTCATTTCATTTCATCCAAACAACAAATATAATACAATTTAAAGAAAAGAAAAAAGATATACAATCACCAAAATAAAATGAAAGGCAGCAGAAGAAGAATGAATTCTTATAATATCTGCCCCTTGTCCCCAAAATATATTCCAAACAAAATTACTATACAAAAGCAAGATGAATTTATATTAAAAAAAAAAGTAAAAAATAATAAAAATAAAAAAAAATTATAGTAAAGGTGTGTCTCAGTCTAACTTGCATTTCTCCGGGGCGGCGCAGCAAACTGAAACTGGTTTAACAGTTGCACCAGGTGAGCTGGACGTAGGTGACAGGCTATGGCAAGCCAACTGTGTCATTAATAGCCATTTTTACCCATTACATGATACACTGCCTGGCCAAAAAAAAAAGTTGCCACCTGAATTTAACTAAGCAAACAGGTACGAGCCTCCTATTGGATAATTACTGCATCTTTCAGCTGCAACAAGTTATTTAACCCCAACTGGTGCAATGAGTTGCTTCTCATTTCTTAAACAACCGTGTGGAAAGACACATCACGTGGTCGTGGAAAAGATGTCAGTCTGTTTGAGAAGGTTCAAATTATTGGCATCAAGCAGAGAAAACATCTAAGGAGATTGTAGAAACTACTAAAACTGGGTTAAGAACTTTCCAATACATTAATAAAAACTGGAAGGATAGTGGGGACCCATCGTCTTCAAGGAAGAAATATGGCCAGAAAAAAATCCTGAATGATCGTGATCGGCGATCACTTAAACATTTGGTGAAATCAAATTGAAGAAAAAAACAGTAGCACTCAGGACCATGTTTAATAGTGAAAGTATGAACATTTCCACACGCACAATGTGAAGGGAACTGAAGGGATTGGGACTGAACAGCTGTGTAGCCTTAAGAAAACCATAATCAGGCTACCCGGAAAAAAAGGCTTCAATTTTCTAGGGAGCATAAAGATTGGACTCTGGAGCAATGGAAGAAGGTCATGTGGTCTGATGAGTCCAGATTGACCCTGTTCCAGAGTGATGGGCGCACCAGGGTAAGAAGAGAGGAAGGTGAAGTGATGCACCCATCATGCCTAGTGCCTGGTCATCGATTCAAGATCTTGGTGAAAAATTAATGCACCACTGGATGGATATAGATCTTGCCACGTTGCAGAAGTTTATCGAAACGATACAGTGAATGCATGATGTAATCAAAGATAAAGGCGATCCAACGAAATATTAGTGAGACTTTTTTTTTTTTTTGGTGGCGACTTTGTTTGGCCGGGCAGTGCACAACGGCATGCCATGCTACTCGAGTGCCATCTAGTGGCTGAAAATGGTAGTGTTCAATATTTTCTGTCGGAAAGAATGAAAACGTCATATCTCAGACAAAAATTGGTTTGAAAATGTGGGGAAAAATCCATAAATATGTCGCTTTGGCGTATAAGTCGCAGGGCATGCAAATTATGCACAAAAAAAAAATAAAAACCCCGCAAAATACGGTAGTTAAAATAATATTTGATCACTTGTACGTTAACGATGATTCAACGTTCTCATTCGCAGGCTGGCTGCTGCGGAACCGGACGCCTGTTCTTGGTCGGCTGCGGGTACAACGCCTACCCCGCAGGCTCGAAGTACGCCGAGTACCCCCAAATGGACGACAAGCAGGAGGACCGTCAGAGACGCAAGTACAGATACATCGTCCACGCCGAGCAGAACGCCCTCAGCTTCAGGTCAGCTTCAACGCTCGGCGGTGAAAACGTTCGGCGGGTCTCGTCTCGTCTGACAGAACCGGTGCGTTTCAGGGTGCGGGACATCAAACCGGACGAGGACACCGTGCTGTTCGTGACCAAGTGTCCGTGCGACGAGTGCGTCCCTCTGATCAGCGGGGCGGGCGTCTCGCACATCTACACCTCCGATCAGGACCGGGACAAAGACAAGGGCGACATTTCCTACCTGAGATTCAGCGGTCTGAAGGACATCGGCAAGTTCATAGTGAGTTTGTGCTCCTTTTACTTTTTAATTAGAAGAATTTACCGTACAGGCTTTAAATCTTTTCTTTTTTGTCCCAGTGGCAAAAGACTCCTTCAGCTCACCTCACCAGTAAGTTGCATCCTGCACCTCCGATTACGTTTTTTTTTTTCAAAAGAAAATCAATCCGTATTCTCAGATTCTGTTGTCGTTTCAGACGGTTGTGTTGGGAAGCACAGCAGGCCGGCTGAGCAGGAGAGTCCCAGAAACAAGAAGCTGTGCACCAGAGAGGCGCGCTGATTCATCTACAGCCACTCGTCCTCCGGGAAACCGCTAAAACCACGTTATCGGCACAGATTTCTGCAGAAACATGTCGGGTGGGGTGGGTGGGGTGTAATAATAATAGCTTCCGTTTGTCAAATTGGCTTAATTTATAAATTTGTTCGTGACAACTTTAACAGCATGAAGGTACCGTAATTTCCGTACTATAGAGCGCACCCGAATATAAATTTTTTTTAAATTGATGTACTGGCAACATACACAAATACGTACAGTAAATGTTAATTTTTTTTTTTTCATAACAACGCCTTTAACACGGCTGGTAAAAAAAAAAAAAAAAAAAAAAACTACAACACAGTAGCCTACCAGGAAGAGTCACTGAGCGCCATCTTCATATTCCTCCTGCTGCAAGCTTGTGCTCTGCGGAGGCATGCGGGGACCCCCCCCCCTCCCGGTTTAATTGGTTCGACTGAGAGCTGTTCTGCAATTTCATTGGTCAGATTTTTTTTTTTTACCTTATTTATACAGGTAGTCTCTTAGTTTATATCTTAAATTCATATTTACTGTTTATTTTTACACTATATTTTTGCTATCGTTTGGCGAAACTGGGACCGTGTACACAATTTCGTTCCACCTCATGTGCCACGTGATGCGAATGACAATAAACCTTGACCTCATTGAGTCACGAGGACCCACTCCCCGAGAGAGACATGTATCTGGCAGCTATGTGAGCGTCCGGGTGAGATGAAGCTAAATGGTTTTGGCTGTAGGAAGCTCGTTAGCCCGTCAAAAAAATAAAATAAATTAGCTGCAGCATTTTATAAACCACGGGAAGCATGTGCAAAAAGTAGCGGCTTATACACCGGAAATTACGGTACTTCTGAAAAGGATGAACGGCTCGTAACGTGGGAAAGCTTACTACCCCAAACAGGATAAAATCTGGATTACAAACTTGCACACCATTAGTCAATTTTTAAATAATTTCTTAAATTCTTCATATATTTTTAGACTGTAGCGCCATCTGCTCCTACGGTTTCCTCGTCCAACAGACAGAAAGGCTTCGGATCGTTTCAAACAGCGGTGGGCACAGCTAACCAAAATGTTAGCTTTGCTACTGTCCAACCAGTAAAAAAAAAAATAGCGAAAGCTAATGCTAAACCGCTAACGGGGTTGCCACTCCGCGTCGCAAGTCTTCGACTCCTTCCTGTAGAAGCTGTGTTGACTAATCACATCGTGTTGTGTGTAGTACGAGCGTACCCCCGCAGGGCATGTTCGCGCAAAGCTCAATTTTTACGACCGCGTACGCGGTGTCGCACAATAAACTGCCCGGCGACACCATTGTATTAAATTCCCCTTCTTCCCTGATCTGGCCTTTTCTTTTGTTTTTCCAAGAGGCAGTGATCTCTTCCTCCTCCGTTGATGCCATGACTGAAATGGTGAGAAATGAAGGAATTTGTCACGAGCAAATTAAACTCAGGTCCAGCATGGCTGCGGGAGGGTCTGGAGATTTCCTGGTGGGCTGGTCTGATGTGTGGGCTGCAGGGCCAGCGCTCCCCGATTTTTTTTTTTTTTTTAGATCTTTTTATTAACAACATATAAACACAGAACATCGCTGAGGCTGCCAGCGCTAGTTTTTTTTTCCCGACCCGTCAATCAATCCAGAAGACGTGTCAGCAAACGACCAATCAGCAACCTCAATTTGTCCCGAAGGTAAACGCCCCTTGTCTGTGGAACTGACTGCAGCTGCTCGGGGTGTACGCTCGAGTATGAAGTCTGAACTCTCTGCGTACAGTACGCACGTACGTTCGCGGGAGTATACTGGGAACTTAAGACACGCCCACAACAGACGAGAACAAGCTTGAGAATTCAGTTACCGGACTTTTAAGTTGGTGAATCATGATTCAAAGTTAGCAAAAAAATTGCTAAATGAAAAAAAATTAGTCCCGCTATTAGCCGTTAGCGGATAGGGGAACTGTGCCCACAATTAATTTTAAACAAACGGAACGAGTGAATAGAAAATAAAGAAACACCACAGTATATTTAAGGGTTCTTTTAACTGTTCAATGTAAATCTGTTTTATTTTTCTATAAAATTTAGGTTGTAAAGAATAAATTTATTAAAAGATTAAAACTATTTGCTACGGCACTTTACGCTGCGGCCTCGCGCCGTAGTTTGTTAGCGGCTTGTTGCTGCGTGAAATTATTTCTGAACCGAACCATTTTATTCTCGGTACGAAGACATTGTCGCCTTGTGGAGGTGGAAAAACATCTGTAAAACCGAAGAACCAAACCGGTAGATTTAGAAAAGAAGTGGTTTTCAGACAGTTTTCTTGGTGTCACTGTTATAATTTATTTATCTACAAAGTTTAGGATTTAATTTCCATCATGTGGTCGTTTTGTCTCTGTCAGTGCAACAGTTTTTATTCCCAAACAGATCTGTAAACAATTTAACAATAAAAGCACTATTTTATTTTGAAAACCTATAATAAAAACACAGAGACGGTGCGTTCCCATCGTTTTATTTGCAGTGACTGTGGCATCGTGTGAATGATTGAAGTTACCAATTCGGCTTTAAAGACACAAAGCTGGTTGGTTTACGTTTGCATTTCATTTTATCCAAAGTAACTTGTTTTAAACCAAAAATACTAAAAGAAAAGTTTTTATTTTTTTTACCATCAAGAGAAAAGAAGCCCAATGGCAATTTACAGCTTTTGATTCTGTTCCCGTTTTCTAAATTTAGGCAGGAAAAAAAGTGGAAAACCAGTTGATGTCCATTGTTTTGCATGAGAGCCATGCAATAAATGCACAGTGAATAATTAAATGTATTAAAAAATAATAATCTTGAAAATGACATTTAATTATTTAATATCATTTAAAAAGTACATTTATTTATTTAATGTGACATTTAATTAACTGTGTGTTTAATTAATGATGTATTAAATAAATTACAAAGGTACATTTATATATTTAATGGGACATTTGTTTATTTAATAATTTATTGGTATATTGAATGTATTAAATAATTAAATTATACATATTTAATACTATTAAATTACTAAACAATTAAGTGTCCCATTAAATAAATAAATACCATTAAATAATTAAATTATACATTTACTTATTTAATGGGACATTTAATTAATATTTAATGTATTAAATGGGGCATTTATTGGAACATTTATTTATTTAAAGGGGCATTTAATCGTTTAATAATTTAATGGTATATTCAATGATGTATTAAATTATACATTTAATTAATGGAACATTTTTTTATTTTACGGTACATTTATTTTATGATGTATTTATTTAATTTTGTCACATTCCACCCTCCATACACATTAACCTTGCTTTATCTTAATTTATTTTTTGGCTTTTGCAATTCTTACATCACTTTTATTTTATTCTGGCAGAAAAACTACAGCCGTGGAAAGTAAAACTACAAAAAAAATATTTAAAAATTAACAGCGTAACTCAAATATAGTGAGTCAAGAGGTTCATTGCTTAATCAAAACAAATATGTTCTGTCCAGAGCATATTTTTAATCAAAATAATTAAGCTCCCCCAAGAAAGAGACGGTAAATATGAACAAAAGTGGGGAAAACCAAAGAAGGCACCACTGAATCATTTCCTTCCTTTTAAACCAACGATCGGACAAAACATTTTTTTTTACAGTACAGATCGAAAAAAGGAGCTAAACAAAATAAAAACACTTAAGCAGACTTTGTTTTCAGCTTTTCTACCTTCAGGTTCAACGTTGTCACAGAGCACACACTGTACATATCAAGAAATTATAAATATATAAAAGCATTGATGTTAGGATTTTTATTTTACAGAAAGTGCTGTCAGAGATCGGCGGAGGGAACCGGTAATTAGCATGATCGAAGCTTAACGTACCGACATCACAAAATAAAGGCTCTATTGTTAAAATAATGGTTTAGTTGGTGATTTTTTTTAATATTTGGCCAACACTTAAAGGCTTATTAAAATGGCACAGGTTGATGCTGAAGCCTTTCTCCTCCTTGTTGAGCTGATTGTTTGTAGGAAGTCTTTTAAGTTTAAGAAAGAGGAAAAAAAAAAAAAGAATAAATCACTGGCTATGGCCGTACATCACATATTTACCTCCCCTGAACAAAGGGACAAAATTACAATTTTCATGATTTGTATCAACTTCATTTAAACATTAATGTTGATTAAAACTTCAAATCCCATCAGCCACTGGGACAGTTTGGCCAAAGCTTTCTAAAGAGATCGTTCAGGTCTTTTGAAGTGGACGGATTATGAGCAATTATTAATTTAAATGTTGTAGATAGCTCTTTGAGCAGGTTCAGTTGGAGAAATTGAGTTTACGTTTGGCCAGACTGACGAGCTAATGGCTAGTCTGAGCAGAGACCAAACCAAAACGGACGGCTGGCGGCTCAATTTAACTCTAGTGTTTCGTGCAAATGCTACTTTATAAACTTAAATCAACGAAACACTGACAGCAGAGTAAACGTTAATAAAATAGTGTTAGCATGAATTGCTATGAATCGTCGATCCGATCCCGAGTTGCGTTTTTTTTCCCTCCAAAAAATTTAATTTCCATAAACACCCTTGTAAACACGGCTCAGTTTCCAGATAAATTGTTATCCACACGGAAACACAGAAAACAATCCAAAACACTGTATGTGGGCGCCACAACACTGCGAAGAGAACGTGTCGAAAAACAGGGAACAAGGCGTAAATGTAAACAGGAAACGGAAGACGGCTAGGTTAGGGGTGGGGCTATGACATCACAGTTTTCAAAAGGTCGTGTTTAGGCCGTCGCATGACGACATTTCCAAGTGAACGCAAAGCTGGAATGATAAATTGTTTGCGCTTTCACGAGCTGAGGCTGTTCAAAGCGCTATCTACAACAGGTAAGACGTTAATTGTTTTTATGCTTTCCGCAGCAATCCACTTCAAAATATCCAAACTGTCCCTTTAATGACCGCTGGTTTCTTCAAACAAATCAAATCAGCTGCGAGCTGTGGCACTAAATGCTACAGATGAAGGGGAAAAAAAAAGGATTTATGTAAACAATTCACAAAATAAAGGTCGATGATTAGGAGCTACTCTCGCAAGAGTTCTTAAACCAACAGAGAAAAAAAGATTTCTTAAATAACCATAATTTTTAATGTGTTTTTTTTCCTAACAATAAAAAGATGTAGAGAAAAGAAAAATTTTAGTTTTATTTTTTTAGGATGTGGGTTTTTTCATTTCCCTGATCTGTTTGATGAGGTAGGTCTTCTCATCGTTGAACTGCTCGTCGTCCGTGCGATCCTTCTGGAAGTTGCTCAGGAAGTCGATTAGTTTGGTCTGGTTCTTGAGCAGGATGTCGGTGATGGGCTGCGTCTTGTTGGGGTTCGCTACGAACACCTGAGCACAAGAACAAGAGTTGCGCTGTCACCAAGTACTCCTCTACGTTAAAGCAATGGTTGACATGGATGATGACGGAAGTGGGACGAGACACTCCGTCTAGTGGCGATGCTTGTGTCTACACGGTTTCATTCATCTCGAGTGGATCAGACGTTACGGGCTGGACAACAAAGTTCCGTAGAACGTCCACCTTTCCACGGTCGTATAATCCATTCAACCTTTATTTAGACAGATTAATCCCAATGAGCCTCGGGGACTCATTTACAAGAGAGACACTGAATTTTAACAAATAGCGATGACAACAGTGGACAACAACGACGATCATAAAGGACGTGTACAATTTTTTTTTAATAAGTGAAAATAAAATGGTATTTAAAAGGATAATTAAAAGGAAAAGTAGCAAAAAAAAAAACCTGCTAGGTTATAAAGGCGGTGTCGAAAACTAAAAACAGGAACACGTCTGCGTTGGTTTTCCCAGGAACTTTGCAGATGTTTTGAAGCCACTTAGAGAGGTCAAGGTCGAGAGCTTCAGACCTTTTTGTAAGATATTCCAGGAAACGGGAGCGGAGTAGGAGAAGGTCCTTTTGTCTAGTTCAGTTGAGGGAACACTGCAGGTAATGATGTCCTGAGAGCGCACGCTGTAGCCGCACTCACGCCGAGACATGTAGGAGGAGATGTATGAAGGCAGCAGACCAAGAAGTGATTTAAAGATGAAAATGTACCAGTGAGAGAGTCTGCGTGAAGTTAATGGTGTCCAGTTAACCAGTGAATACTGGGTGCAGTGGTGGGTACGGTAGTTACAGCCAGTTATGAATCTTAGTGCACTACGATAGACAGCATCCAACATCTGCAGGGTGCTTGCATGAGCGTTCATGTAAATAATGTCACCGTAATCAATGGAGGGAAGGAAAGTCACAGATACAAGGTGTTTCCTAGCATTCAGGGTTAGACAGGATCTGTTTCTGAAAAAAGAAACCCAGTTTAACTTTCAGTTTCTTTACCAAGTTTTCCACATGAAGCTTAAAAGAGAGATGTGAGTCGACCAAGATACCCAAATATTTGTAGGAATTGACAAACTCTATAGGGACACCATTTCAGGATAAAATCAGAGGAAGAACTGCTGGGACCGACTTCCTTTTTGAAAAAAGCATCCCTTTGGTTTTGTCAGCGTTTAGGACAAGTTTGAGACGGAACAAATCTGACTGGATGTCGAAAGCGGACTGCAAAAGCTGGAAAAACAGTAACTGTTTTAGCTTGACAATAAATGTGTCATCAGCATAGAAATGTAAGGACTTCACACTACCTATGTAGATTGTAAAGAGGGTGGGTCCTAAGACAGAGCCTTGTGGTACACCATTGTTGACTTTTACATAACTGGAGGAAATACCATTATTTTGAACACATTGCCTCTGATCTGAAAGATAGAGAACCAACCAATGATACGTTCAGAGAAACCATACCATTGGTATAATAATAAAAAGGTTGCGCACCTTGAAGACGTGGAAGGCCTCGAACTGGATGTTGGAGCTTTTGTCTCGCAGCAGATTCATCATCAGCTTGAGGTTTTCGGGCTTGCTGATGTAACGCGTCATCACCGTGAAGTTGTGTCGGTCCAACAGCAACTCGCCCAAGAGCTGAAGAGACATTTGTTTTGGCTTTATCAGACTGAACGTTGTTTTTAACTCGAGTCGACGCGGGAGGCGGAGGCTAACCTTGAGAGACTGTCGCTTCGTGACGTAGTTCTCGGAGTGCAGCAGCTTCTCGTAGTCGGCAAACACCTGCAATCAAATAAAACCCATTAGAGTTTACCAACAGCTTCTTTTATTAAAGTTTGTAAAAGGACTGTTGACTTCAACTCGTGTCTAATTTCAACCGGAGCAGCGTTTGGCTTCGGTATTGATCCCATGGTGGCGTCTCTTGACAGTCTTCTCAGAGACGCCTGTCAACAAAGACGCCAGTTCTGTGGAGTTGAGTCCCCCCGACCCCCTACGCGTGAAACGGTCCCTCTGCTTTGGGAAACAGACGGCATGAGTGCAGCTTTGTATCAGTGAGACAGGAGAAGGCTTTTCATTGGTTCAGATTTCCTGGAAATCCAAGCGTACTTGTCAAGAACTTGTCAAAACCTCGACGACTTGAAGTTTCTCTTTGGAGCTTTCTGAAAGTGCCCCTGTGACACGACCGATACCCGATCTCTGCGTTTGCATTTCCAAATCAACAACAAGGTGATAATCTATGGGTTTGTGGTGTTAGGCTTCCCTTCAGAGTCATGGTTAGCACATGGACTAACTCTTGAAAGGATCTCTGGTTTGTTGGAACAATAGACAACAGTTGATAAACAATTGTTTCAGCTATAAAAACAAGACAGTAAAAATATTGTGGGCCGTTTAGGTTTTGTAATTTTCAAAAATCAGTGATGCACAGACGTCCCCATTGTATTTACGCTGCAATACATGCTGGGTAAATTACATCCACAAGTTGCTCTGACGTGAGCTCCATTCAGCTTGAACGAAAATTTTAGACGTCTGATGCTCACTCTTTTAAATTGAATCAGAGGGCTACAGTATAGTGTTAGATTATATCTATATATATCTATATATACATCTATATATATCATATCTATATATATCATATCTATATATATATATTATATACAGTGTTTTAAGAAGAGCAGTGGTGCAGATCACTCACAGAGTCGTAGTTTTGGTCGAGGTACTCAGCCACAAGCACTTTGTGTCTCGTTAGGAGATCCTGGGAACAAAAACAGTCTTGGTTAAAAAAAAAAAAAAACAGGTTAAACTTTAATAATGCTTAAAAAAAAAAAAACAATACCCTTATTTACCTTAAAAGTAGCGAAGGCGTCAGAGGCGATGTCGAAAGTAGACATCTCAACATAGCTGAAGAAGTTGTGGAAGTCTTCGGAGTGCAGAACGATCCTGGCGAGCTGCTCGTGGCGGATGCATTCCCTCAGCATGATCCCGCAGTTCAGCGCCACCTGGGGTGTCTCGTACCTTTAAAGACGCACAGAAGAAACGGATCAGCCACCTGGTGGTACCGAAGCAAGCAACCTGTCGGGTAAAATCTTACTCCTTACATACATAGCTCTCAACAACCCAACACTTCACTCTCAGACTTTAGGTTTACGTGTGGTTCCTAGAGTTTCCAAAAGTAAAATGGGAGGAAGATCTTTCAGTTATCAGGCTCCTCTCTTGTGGAACCAACATCCAGTTTCTGTCCATAGGGCTGACACATTATCCAGTTTAAAGACTCAACCTTTAGATAAATCACATTGAGCCTCGAAGACTCATTTACAAGTGAGATCTGTTTAAGTCTTTCCTTTTTGATAAATCCTATCGTTAGGGCCAGCTTGGGTTTCCTGAAATATCCATTAATTACACTGCTGCAGGACAAACTGACTACAATTCTATTGCCATCATTAACATGTTTTTGTCTTCAAAAACGACACCTGTACCATAGGAACTACACCTGAACCATGAAATACACTTGGACCATAGGAACTAGACCTGTAACATAGGAACTACACCTGGTCCAGACATTCTGTGTTTGTTTCCAGTTGAGGCAGATGGCTGCCCATCCTGAGCCTGGTTTTAGTCCCACTGGAGGTTTCTTCCTGTTAAAAGGGAGTGGTTTCCTCCCACCATCTCCAGTGAGCTGCTTAAAGATGACAGAGTAAAGTTTGGACTCCATCTTCTGCTTTCCTTAGATAAATTTAACGAACTGGTGTTCATAATGTACCGTATGTGAAAACACTGAACTATAACAGAAAGTTAGATTTGCACCTGGACCTGAACGGGACTTGTGATCTGGACTTGGGTTTTCTCATGGACCGTGCCCTGAGATGACTTATTGGTGCTTTATGGATAAACTGAACTGAACCCGACCCACCCTTTGAGCAGAATGAAGAGAACCTCTTGGTGGGAGCAGAAGTATTCGACGGTGGGGCTCCTCGTCCCGAGCTGCCTCCTCAGGATGTTGTTGAAGATCTGACACACGTCTTTCTTGCCCTATAAACACAGAATTGAACCTTCAACCTCCTCCTGTTTCATTATCCTCTGTGATTTGTCTGAACGAGCAGATCTCGTTACGTTTCCCTCACCTCGAAGTCTATGACTTGCAGGTTTTCTACAAGAGAAATGAGCAGGCCGCTATTGTACAGCTCCTGGGCTAACTGGGCCACCGTCTCAGTCTGGGGCTCCTTATCGTGGCTCCCATACAGGATCTCCTTCATGGACACCAAGCACTTGGACACCTCCTCAGAGGCCTGCAGAACAAAAACCACAAGGTGAATAAGAAGTAGGGAGATAACGAAGAGAGTCCGTTTTCATTTAAAGATGAAGAAGCGCCTCGGAGGGAGTGAACTTTGTTGATGGTGAAGTGGCGCCGTCACCGTCGAGCCCCCGGAGGTCCAGGGGTTTACAGGGGAACGCTCGGCCTCACCTACCTTATCCGTCTTCTTATCGTGTTTGACCAGGATGGCCAGGTTCTCCTTCAGGATCTTGACGATGTCTGCGGGACTCTTGTGGGATTTACCGAACAGCGGCATGACGGACGAACACACAAACGCCTTGAAATCTGCGAAACACACACAACCACGGAGCGTTAAGATGGTCAATGGACAGTACTTACATAGCACCTTTCTATCTTATCAGACACTCGAAGCTCTTTACAACACAATCTGTGCCTCATTTACTCGTTCATACAGCACTTTTATTTTATTTTTTCTCTCTGCACTCGTTCAAGGCGGACACATTTTCCTCTCCCTCCCCTGTTCTCCTCTTCCTCCTGCTTTTTTGCTCTCTCTCTGTGTCTCGGAGCTCCTGCTGCACATCTTCTGAACGAAAAATACTATTATGGATCTGGTCAGCTGGACATTCAACGCAATTAACAAAATATTTTCAAAAAAAACGACAAGGTCCTGGAGAGCCCTCATGTCCCACTGAGACTCACGCTGCAGGATATGTCATGGACCCGTTGGGGGTGTGGGAGCTGATGTGATTCAGTTCTGTCTCAGGAGGACGCTGAAGACATTTATATAATTGGATTCATGATAGCAGGCAGGGTTCCTGCTTTTTGGCATTGGCGGGTTCCTATGTTATCAACTTTTGAGGAAGACATCGGAAGCAGTTTCGTCCATGACAAAACTGCCAAGTCTGTGTGAAAGTTTGGTTCGTGCTACGAGTACTCAAAATCAGCTGATTTACGAGTTAAACCGTAAGATGGAAGTGATTTTTGATAATTGCAGGCCACCTGCGGCTTCTAGGATTCGCCAGCATGTTGGAGTCGACCTTGAAAGAGGCTCATAGCACGGATCAGCGGAATGCCCATAAATTTGACCATTTTGGATCTTCAAAGTTCCAGCAGGACTCAAAGCTGACAGGGAAGAAACTGTCTGCCTGAAGAAAATCAACAATTGTGACTTATCTGAATCTGACCCCCTGGTTTGGCCTTGAAAGCAGGCCGACTATCAAATTTCTCCTGGGACATGGGTAAACTAAGGGAAAAGCTTTGTCTATTGCACAAATCAGAGGCAATGAGGGGTCCAGTGTCTTGCCCAGGGACACTTCAGCATGTGACTACTGGGGGAATCAAACTAACTCTCCCATTGGAGGGCGACTACTCTAACCACTCAGCCACAGCTGCCCTGACGATGGCCGCAAGATAAAAATTAAACCCCCGGCATCCCCGATGCTGAGAAGGAATGTAGCTACAGCAGTTTCGATCGTTCCTTGAAAATATTAATATTAGAACCAACGTTCCCGCGTCGACTTGTAAAAATAAAAACTGTACCGATTTCACTCCTATCAAACGTGAATTACACTCTTCCAGTTTTAAAGGTCTCTTTTTGTTGTCGTTGTTCTTCATCTAATCGGACCCGACCGTTTTACTGAACCGCCTCACACCCACACCTGATGTTAAAGAGAAAAGCGACGAGTTTACGTCTTTGTGAGAAAACGACACCGTTCTACTCTGAGGTAGAACTTCCACAGAAGTCTCGCTCCGAGCCGTACGGACGAGTCTGGATCAGCTTAAAAGCATTTGTATTAATTACAGTCTAGAGAAGTCTGCAGCCAGGGGGTGGCCAATGGTGGCCTTGGCCCCCATAGATTATACTTTTAAGCAGTATATAAAAACTAGAAGGCATAGTTTAATGTGTCCTCATACAGAAATCAGTGTTTCCCCCAGTTTACTTGCCTTGACAGGGCGCTCATATCTTCCATGATTTTTTGTCAACGGCATTTCCTTCAAACCCATTAAAGTTGTAAACATTTTTAACACAGCTGATGTGAGTGGCTGAGAGGAAGAAAAACAAAAAGTTATGATAAAAAAAATTTAAGCTGAAGTTAAAAAATCCATATGAAAGAAGCCACTAAAGTATGAATAAGTATTCACTTTAGTAATTTTTAATAGGATGGAAGTATAGCTTTGTTTTTGTGTGAACGCTGTTATTAAGCATTCACACTATTGTTTTCCTGTTTATATTATTCCTGACTGTTACTATCCGTACCTTTTCAGCATCTTTCTCGTCCCGCAGTTTTCAGCTAATTCAACAAATCGTATCAAAACGTTCGGCTCTTTCAGGACAATCCTGCTATGACTTTTGGTATTGGTGCAACTTTAGCTTTTTGAAATATTTACCGATAACCTTTTCTGACATTTCTATCTCGTAGAAAATGAACTGAGCTCATTTTCCCTCCTTCACATCTTTAGATCTGTTTACAACCTTTTACTGCTCCTTTCACATTTTGTTCTGCTTCAGCTGCTTTCCTTCTGCAAATCTAAACTTTTTTTTAGCTAATTTCAGCAGTTTTTTCAGCTGTTTTGTGCTCCTTTCAGATTCTTTCTGCTAACTGCAACATGTTTGTACTTCTTCTAACTTCTTTCTGCTAATTTCAGCTCGTTTTGATCCTTTCAGCTTATTTCTGCAAGTTTCAGCTTTTTCAGTTGTTTCAGCTACTATTTAGCTGTTTTGATGTTAATTTTAGCCTTTTCAGCTAATTCCATGTTTTTTTGCACACTTTTCAACTCTTTTCAGCCTAATTCAGCAAAAATGTGCCCTCTCCACTTTTTTCTTGTAACTTCAGCTTCTTTCTGCTTTTTAGCTGCTTTTCAGCTGTTTATTCTTTTGCCAACTTCATCTTTTTCAGATAATTTACACTTCTTTGCACTCATTTCTGCTTCTTTCAGCCTAATTGGACAAACACATGTTCTTTCTGCTTTCATATGCTAATTTAAGCTTGTTCTATCGTTTTAGCTACTTTTTTTTTTTTTTTTTTTAGCATTTTTTAGCCAATTTCAGCTGTTTTCCTAGTTTTTGTAGTAATTTCTGCTACTTTCAGCCTAATTAGCTTCTTTCTGCTAATTTCAGCTTATGTTCCTTTCAGCTTTTGTCTGCTAGTTTGTTTTTTTCTGATATTTCAGCTACTTTTCAGCAATTTTTTTGGGCTAATTTTCTAATTTTTGTGCACATGTCTGCATTTTTAAACCTAATTCCGCAAAAATATGTGCTCTTTATGCTTTCTTCTGCTAATTTAAGCTTGTTCTTCCATTTCAGCAGGATTTTAGCTAATTTCAGCAGTTTTTCAGCAATAAACATTCACACTGCATTTCCACAGGAATTGTAATTCCTCTAGTTTAATGTGGGATACTTAAATGAGTAATTATATCTAGTTCAGGCAACATATTTCATTGTTTACATTTTCTACATGTGGAATAAACTGAATGTTTTATTTCCCCTCTTTATAAAAAAGGTCTTAACTTGTTAAAAGTGCAACAATTTGTTGAAAAACTTTGAATATCATAAGGTTAGTTTTTATTTGTAGTATTTATACTGCGTTTTGCCACCTTTACTTCAAGCTTCGAGTACATTTTCAGGCACTCGCTTTGTCGAGTTCTCGAAGAAATCGAAAGATTCAGGAGGAAGTTTCTCAATCCAGGTCAGCTCAGGAACAACTTGTGACCGCTAATCCTCATGTGACGGAGCTTTAACCTCCTCTACCTTCACTCCTCCTCCTCCTCACTCTTCATCTTTTAGACCCAGTTTATTCCATCCGATGCTCAGAAAGTTACAAAGTAGTTGACGAACAAAGACAAGTTTTAAGGCTGCAGTTATTTATTTCAGGAAACAGGAAGAGGAAAAGCCAGAGCCACTAAACGCTCAAATCGAAGCAGAAAAAAAAAAAAAAAAAAACGTTTCTTTCCTTTTCTGTGAGTTTCCTTTAAGGATAAATCACCTCCTTATTACTTGTTTGCTCCAACTGTTAAAAATCTTATCGTGTTCAGACCTTTATGGATCAATAAAGAACATTTTTGAGATACTACAGTTTAAAAAAAAAGGAAAAGAAACGAGGCTGCTCCTGTCATGACATCACAACAAAACAATTTCGACTTGAAGTGTCGAAGGACGAAACGAACAAGGAAGAGTTTGAAACAGAAGGAACACCTCAGCTTTCATCTTTTTTAATCTGATCGTGCGTTTCCTGCCTTCTCGCTCTCACGGTGACGAAAAGAGAGTAATTATTAAAGGACTAGGTCCAAAAGGTCGACTTTAATGGCCGAGTAACGGCGCTTTAAATCCTTGAAAGCACAAACAGCTGGTTACTGCGAAACCTTGGCTCTCTCCCTCTCAGTCTGGTTAAAAGTGACCAAATGTTACGTAATGAGATTAACTGCCTGCCGGACCTGAACACACACGTGTGCGCTCTGTTTTAACGGAAAGAGGCGACGACGGACCCAAGATTTGGCTTTTAAGCTGCAAACTGGAGAGACGATGGGAGCTTTAAATGCAGGCGCACAACAAAACGAGAAGGAACTAAAACACACGATAAACTGATCCTTCTGGCTCCACTGAAGCTCACAGGAAGTATTCCACTGGAAGGAGCTCCAGATCTACAATTTTCATAGTAAAATGTACTTTATCTCATTTACCAGATGTATAAACATACAAATACACACGAGTGTCTATTTGAGTACTCGCGTTTCTTTCCAACAGCTGCCAACAACATCCTGCTTTGACTTCCTTTACGTTTGTCTGGACACAAAACAGGAATTGAGGGTTTGAAATCAGTCGATTTCACCCAAACCTTAGAGTAAAGGTCAAACACACGAAATAAAATGACGACGGCTACAACAAAACCAAAAGATGAGAAAAGTATGTAAACAGTTAGACATGAGGTACATTTTGAATATTGATAATGTTGGGAGGAAATGCCAGTTCTTCAGGGCGTTGGTTTGTTACAGTGGTGGGTACGGTTCGTTATAGTGGTGGGTACGGTTCGTTATAGTGGTGGGTACGGTTCGTTATAGTGGTGGGTACGGTTCGTTATAGTGGTGGGTAGGGTTCGTTATAGTGGTGGGTACGGTTCGTCCAGTGGTGGGTACGGTTCGTTATAGTGGTGGGTACGGTTCGTTCAGTGGTCTGTACGGTTCGTTCAGTGGTGGGTACGGTTCGTTCAGTGGTCGGTACGGTTCATTCAGTGGTCTGTACGGTTCGTTCAGTGGTCGGTACGGTTCGTCCAGTGGTCTGTACGGTTCGTCCAGTGGTCGGTCCGGTTCGTCCATTGGTCGGTACGGTTCGTCCAGTGGTGGGTACGGTTCGTTCAGTGGTCTGTACGGTTCGTTCAGTGGTCTGTACGGTTCGTTCAGTGGTCGGTATGGTTCGTTCAGTGGTCTGTACGGTTCGTTCAGTGGTGGGTACGGTTCGTCCAGTGGTGGGTACGGTTCGTCCAGTGGTGGGTACGGTTCGTCCATTGGTCGGTACGGTTCGTCCAGTGGTCGGTACGGCTTGTCCACTGGTCGGTACAGCTCATTCTGTGGTAAGTACTGTACTCGCATCTCTCTTTTAAGCTCCACATGAAAAACCTAGTAAGGAAACTGAAAGTTAAACTGGGTTTCTTTTTCAGAAATAGATCCTGTCTAACTCTGAACGCTAGGAAACGCCTCGTAACTGTGACTTTCCCTCCCTCCATTGATTACAGTGATATTATTTACATGAACGTTCCTACAAGCACCCTGCAGATGTTGGATACTGTCTATCACGGTGCACTAAGATTCATAACTGGCTGTGATTATCGTACCCACCACTGCACCCTGTATTCACTGGTTAACTGGACATCATTAACTTCACGCAGACTCCCACTGGTACATTTTCATCATTAAATCACTTCTCGGTCTGTTGCCTTCATACATCTCCTCCTACATGTCTCTGCGTGAGTGCAGCTACAGCGTGCGCTCTCAGGACATCATTACCTGCAGTGTTCCCTCAGTGAGGACTGAACTAGGCAAAAGGGCCTTCTCCTACTCCGCTCCTGTTTCCTGGAATATCTTACAAAAATATCTGAAGCTCTTAATTTTGACCTCTCTAAGTGGCTTCAAACATCTGCTAAGTTCATGGGAAAAACTAAAGCAGACGTGTTCTGGATTTTAGTTTTAGGTTCATTCCGTGGTCGGTGCAGTTCATATTCTGGTAAGAATTGGTTAATTTGATGAAGCAGTGCTAAACGAGACTATCCAGACTGGCTCTGGAAGGCCACTGAATCCAATTCTGGTCGTCTGTCAAACAAAGTTAACAAATTATCCACAGGAACACAGCCTGTAGAAGAGCACTGCTTTCACAATAAAAGCAGAGCGCAGCAAGCTAGCGCAAAGATTTGGAAAACACGTTTGCACACGAAGATGCTCTTTGTGACGCCACTACAGACCATCGAGCTACCACAGCATACATGTGTGAAGCAGAGGGCTGCCATCTAGGGTGCCCGGGGGGAACAGATGTGGGGGCTCAAAGGTTCAAGGTTCTTTATTGTTAGTCACATCACATGTGGTACATGAGGTGGAACAAAACTGTGTACACAGGCTCCCAGTTCACCCAACAATAACAAAAATATACTGTACATTGTAAATGAAACAGTACTAAGGGTATAAAATATAAACTGAAATACGCTAAACACTTCACAGTGCAAAACGATACGTCGAACAACAGCAGCACGAACATGAGTCTGTGTGAGTAGAGGAGTACGAATGAACACGGCAGCATGAAAGAAATTGCAAAGACCCAGCAAGTGGATCCAGGGTGCGGCTGAGTGGTTAGAGCAGTCGTCCTCCAACGCAAGAGTTGGGAGTTCAAATCCACCGGCAGTCACACGCCGAAATGTCCCTGGGCAAGACACCGAACCCCTCGTTGCCTCAGATGTGCGTCCCATCGGTGTATGAATGTGATAAAGCTCTGATTAGTCTCTTTAGAATAATTTGTTCAATTAGCTCTGTAGAGATCTAGTATAGAGCTGTATGAATGGGTAAATGAGGCACAGATTGTAAAGTGCTTCGAGTATCTTGATTAGATAGAAAGGTGCTATATAAATACAGTCCATTTACAATTTACCAGGTGTGGGCTTCACCTTTCCCACCCGCATTTAGATGTTACAGTCAGGATTTAAACTGGTGACCTCCCGATCACTGAGGTGCCACCACTCTCCTAAAATAAAACCACCGCACACAGTTTAACCACAAATACTTTTTTTAAATGGTATGGTATGGTATGAAGTTTATTCATTTTAAAAAAAGTACAAAACAATTCCATAACAATATATAAAAAAGATACAAAAGATTTAAAATGAAAGGCAGCAGAAAGAAGAAAAAATCTTATTATATCTGCCCCTTTTTTCAAACAATTATTTCAGACATATTAATTTTCAAGTAACAGAACAAAATGAATAACTTTCTAATTTTTCTAATTCTAATAAAAAACACACACTAAGCTACTTCATATATACTTTTTTAACAATCTAGATTTGATCTTTTTCTTAAATGTACACATTGACTTGACATTTTTAACATCACTCTCTAGACCATTCCACAATCCAACTCCTTGGATTGAGGTAGACCTTCCCTTCAGACTAGTTCTGAATTTTGGTTTGACAAATATCTCTATCCCCTTAAGATTGTAACAACTTTGTCTTTTAACAAAATTTCTTTGGATATTTAATGGTAATGTGTTATTTTGAGCCCTATACATAACTGATAAAATACTATAATCTACCAAATCATGGAACTTCAATAACTTCAGTTGATAAAATAATGTGCTTGATGGGTGACAGTAATGCTTTCTGGTGATGATTCTTACAGCTCTTTTCTGTAAAATAAAAATAGGTTTTGTAAATGTTTTACACGCTTTCCCCCAAACATCAATGCAATAGATTAAATGTGGAACAATGATTGTGTTATACAACATGTACAGAGCTTTATCATTTAATAATTCCCTGACTTTGTATAGTACTGCAATAGATTTAGATATTTTTATTCTTACAGAATTTATGTGATTTTTCCATGTTAGCTGTTCATCAATGATTACACCCAAAAATTTCATCTCATTAACTCTACAAATCTCAACACCCTCAATTTTAAATGGATCATCAACAGTTTTCTTTTTGTTACTAAATATCATGTATTTAGTTTTATCTAAATTTAATGATAATTTATTAATTTTAAACCAAGTTTGTATTTTATCAAATTCTGTCTTCATCAGTTCCAACATCCGTTTTACATCTTTACCCAAACAAAAAAATGTGGTGTCATCTGCAAAAAGGACACATTTGAGGAGTCCTGATACATTCACTAAGTCATTCACATATAAAATAAATAACTTTGGTCCAAGTACAGAGCCTTGAGGAACTCCACAAGTGATATTGCACAAGTCAGATCTTACACCATTTATTTGTACAAACTGTTTCCTATCTTTTAAATAGCTAGATACCCAGTGTAATGCTGGTCCTCTTATACCATATTTATTTAATTTTTCAAGGAGAATAGTGTGGTCAATAGTATCGAATGCTTTTTTTAAATCAACAAAAATACTAACACAATACTGTTTTTGATCGACAGCAGTAGTTATTTGTTCCATTATTTCCATGAGAGCCATTGATGTAGAGTTTTTTGCTCTAAACCCATACTGACTGTTACTTAGAATGTTTTGTTTAGTAATAAATTTATCTAATCTGGTCACAAACAGTTTTTCTAGAATTTTTGAGAATTGTGGTAATAAGGATATTGGTCTATAATTATTGAACACACATTTATCACCATTTTTAAAGAGAGGAACTACCTTAGCTACTTTCATATTGTCTGGAAATATTCCTTTTGAAAATGATAAATTACAAATATATGTAAACGGCTCGATAACATAACTCATTATGTCCTTTACAAACATCATATCCATGTCCACCCAGTCTTTTGATCTCTTATCTGTAAGATTTTTTACAACATTCATTATTTCTTCTTTGTCAGTTCCATTAAGAAAAATACTGTTGTCACAACCTTTAACTGAATGGTTCACATTATTGTCTACTTTTGGTATTTTAGCTGCAAGGCTTGATCCAATGTTCACAAAATGACGATTAAATCCATTTACAATTTCATTTTCATCATGGATTTCATTGTCATCCTTCAAAAAATATTGTGAAATACCTGTTTTTGCTTTATGACTTTTCAGAACACTATTTATTACTCGCCATGTAGCTTTTTGTAAATTTGCATGGTGGTCTTGCTCTGAATGCTCCTCAGCCACCTGCTTGAGGATGCAGGATGAGTGGAGTCCTTCGTGATGCGGAACACCCTCCCCCTGCATGTTAAGTGTAGCGGTCCGAGGTGGTGGGAAGGCTGCTCCCCACAGTCTTACGTGCATTTAATTAACTCGTTCCTTATTTTTGCAAACAACTCCTCAGTTTTCATAAGGTTAGCGAAGAGAGAGAAAAGGCTGCTTTTTATTTTAACACCCTTAAAGCTAAATCTCACGCCTCAAACAAGAGGTCCATTATTGCTGCTTATAGTTTTATTTTGAAATGTTGCTACCGGAAGTAGCCGCTCTTCCTCGAGGCTAGCTTGACGTCACTCGCTCAAAAGTAGAAGAAATGACAACAAAAACCGCACAACACGCTCATTTAATGAGCAGCTAACGAGCCACAGATCCCGCCGCGGTTGGAGGAAGAGTTGGTGATAAAGTAACCGGAAGTGAATAACGCAGAACAGCTCGAGACGTTGTGATTTAACACGGCTACTCCCCTACAAACTGCCTTTTTTTTTTTTTTTTTTTGCTTGACAGATTAAAGCTAACCACAGCTGTCCGCATCATCGCAGAAACAGCTGCAGAGAGGAAGGGAGGGGTGGGGGGGCCGTTACACACATTTCAACCCTTAAAGTTACAAACCCTGTCAGCGGCAGTAACGTCGTAGGTTAACCGACATTAGCTTGTTACTTACAGCGAGGAGATGTTTGGCGTCTTTAAACGTCTCGGACGCTTCTGTCCCGAGTCGTAGCGCAGCCGAGCCTCCCAGTTAGGCGTCAGAGTTCCCGCCGGGGGTGTTTGTTGGCACCGAACTAAAAACGTGAGCGATACAATTTAAAATGTGAGGAATCTGTCGAGAAGGGAGTGTAGAATTCCATCTGTTCGCTCCGAGACGGAACGACAAGCTCACGCGATGAGGATCTAACGCGGCTTCCGGTAAGGATTTTCACAGCAAATTTCATGAAGGCCTTTTCTTGGCGAGAGAAAAGGAGCAACGATGTCGATTGAACAAAAACTTACTTGCAATTAAAATAAAATTGAAGTTGTAATTTAATATGAATTTTATTACCGCTTGTGCTTTATTCGACTGTTACCTGTAAGCTTTTAATTTACAAAGCGAATTGTGCAACTTCCGGTTATGGTTGCTCTCGTTCTCGCTAACTTGACAAATCTGTATCTTTCCAGCAGCGGTCGATTCCTCGTTCGCATTCTGTCACTTTCAACCTTCCTCATCGCCTTCGCCGGTCCATTACCGATGTGTGTGCACTAAACAGGCATACATATAACACATTTTGCTGCGCTTGTGTCTAGTACGAGTCCGTCGAAACGTCTTTTGGGTTATTTTGGATGTTCAGAGGAAAATAAAATCGGGAAAAAGACGTGAAGGTCCGTTGCGAAACAAATTGGAACGCAGCCTAGGCCAACTTGTTTGAACTAAAAATACAGTACTAAAATTACAAAAAATATACAAACATCAAACTGGACACATTTTGAATGTTTTTTTATGGGTGCCAATGCACTACTGCAGAAAATTAATGCTTTGTAAAAAAAATAAATTTAGAAAAGAAAGGTTAAGGGCAGTGACTCATAGCGGTCACCATGGTAACCACACAGTGTCTGTCACTCCCTGACTGCTAAGTTATTGATTAAAATGTAGGAGATAAGACAAATTAAGAAGACCCTCCACTTGGAAAGGAATATTTAGAGATAAAATATAATCAGAGTCTATGGGTGTTCGCTCTGCACTCTGAAGGGATTCGACAGAAAACTGGAAGTCCTACAGCAGTGGGACATGCGCCATGCGAAAGAAGACAAAAACGCCTACATTTTGACGTATGACTTGTGCACTTGACTCTCATACCTCACAGTTTCTTCCGGTTGTCAGGTGTACCCCAAGGCTCCTGTCTTGGTGCAACTCTTTTGTCCATATTTACAAACGATATCTCACATTCTGTTAGTGAGGCCTCCATCCATTTATATGCCAATGACACTATATTATATACTTTTGGTCCTACTCTGGATGAGGTCCCTTGCATGTGGTTTTCTTGAAATCCAGCAGGCCTTTTCTGACTTAAAATTGTCCTTACGTGCCAACAAAACTAAATTTATGTGGTTCAGTCATGGAGGAGGAATCATACCCATCTCGGTGGACTTCACAACTGTAAACGGTGGTATTATAGAAGGTAACGGTGTATAAATATTTGGGAATTTGGATTGATGGTGCTCTGTCCTTTTCGCATCATTTTAATGCTTTACAATCTAATGTGAGACTTGGTTATGTATATAGAAATCGATCTTTGTTTACACCGGCTACAAAATACACCATCGTTGAAAAAACAACATTCTACCTCTGTTGGATTATGGAGATCTAATTTACAGACATGCTTGTCAATCGTAAGCTGGACACAACTTATCCGTCTGCTATAGTTACAAACGCTCCTTACAGATCACATGGTGGTCACCTCTACTCTCTTGTTAAATGGCCTTTTCTACATACGTGTCATGAAGCTGTAAAATTGATTGATTGCTTTGGACATTTCCACCGTCAGCTGAACAGTCCATAGAAAAATCTAAGAAATCCTTAAACTGCGATCGCGAAGTCCAACTTTCTGCGCCGCATTTAAACTTTATGTGAAAGCTACGCGACAAAATACGGGACAAAAACTTTGAACAAGAAAAGGTACAACCCCATAGAGGAACCGTTTTTATTAAAGCTGCTTTCATTTTACATACAAGTCAGAATACATATTTACAAATGTACAGATATGTCTCGTAACATTATTTGTATTTCGCCATCATACTCGGTAGATAAGACAATAAGGAGAGGTCGCTGCAATGTGCTGCATAAACAGAAACTTTAAAAAATATATATAACCCTTTTCACGACCCTCCAGCCTTAAAGTCAGAAGTACAAACTCAAGATATCGAGCCCTTCGGGATCGAACGTGGACAAGTTTAGTGCCCGTGTCAGCCGTTTTTTTTTGTTGTTTTTTTTAGGGCAGAAAATAAACTCTCATCATTTTATAACAGCGCCAAGTTAAAAAATATATAATTAGGGATGCACGAGAAAAACGGCATGAGGTATAGAGGTGTTACAGCTAGTTCCCACGTTTTTCTTTTACTTCCACGGACCGAGCGAGGTCCGACTGAAGCGGCCGACGATGATTTGTTGAGCACCTTCTGTGTAATAAACAGGCGGGGTCGGTTCTGGTTCAGAGAGCCGGACAGTGTAGGGAACCCCGGCTATGAAAGAACGGCGCAGGTTCCTCGCTGCGTCCGAGGTGTTCTCTCCATCGTTCGCACCAACAATTGAAAACAAATTAAAATAAAGACACGTGGATTGTGATCAGCTACAGGTGTGGCTCGCAGGGCGCAAACACACAGAGCAGGTCCGGGGGCCTGACGGCAATAAAAGGTGGCTGCTGTCACATGCCTGAACGGGGCTGGGAGCGGAGGACAATGCTGCCTTTTGTGCAAACACAGGTGGAGACCATGACACGAAAACAAACAAAACAGAAAGGGTAATGGGGGCTTGTGAGGCCGTCGGACCGAGTTGGAAGAGTCGCCGTCGCGTAGAAGCCGGTTTTTAAGACGGCCACTGAATCAATTTGTGTAACGAAGCGCACAGGCAGGAGTGTCGACACGTACAGGTATGCGGTCACACCTGCCTGCCTGCAACTTCTGGGACTTCCTGAGAGGTTACTGCAGTTCAGAGGCAAGCCCCTTTTCAAACAACAACTAAAACTGGAATTCCAAGAGACGTTCAAACCGCTGGTTTTCTTGTTTAAACTGACGTCAGAGCTTAATATTTTCTTTAAACCAACGCGATGCGACGGGCCTGCAGCGCGCTCTGCTCCGTACGCGTCCCCAAAAACGAGAGGTCACGACCTTCGCTTTGCTCCGAGACGGCACCCCCCCCCCCCCCCTTTCCCCGTGTACCCTCAGCGTCTGACGCTACAGCCATCAAATCGTGTGAAATCCCCGTTTGATGGCGTCTGTGCAAGATCCAAAGAGGACGCTATTGCGGTGCTGCCGTGTCCTGGAGGCGACACCGGCGTTTTGAGTGCAGGCAGTCTTGGAATTGTCTGTATTAGACGCTACATATTCACAACATGGCACCAAAGTCGTGCTCAGAAAGCCTTTTTCTTTTAAAGCGGGTCCGAGAGGCGTACGACTCCCACGACCCCGCCGTGGAAACGGAGACGGGGCGGCGATCTCAGGTCAGGGTTTGATGTCCGAGAAGCTGGTGTAGGTCTCGCTGCAGCTGGAGGACGTGCTGAGGTTCCCGGAGACGCTGCCATCTGCAGGACAAACACGCGAACCACCGCAGAGATGAGTCGGTGAAAGACGACGGCAGACTCGAGGGTGCTATGGAACTACTTCCTGTCAATTCAACCAACCTGAGCTGCTGAGCGACTGCGAGGACTTGGACTCTGAGATCAGGCTGAGGAGGTTCGCCGCCGACACCCAGCCATCTTTACCGCTGCGAAGGTTCTTCACAAACCTGTAAAGGACAAAAACAAGGCATGACTGATAATTATTAGGTCTGAAGATACTCCAGCGTTGAGAATGCCACGCTACGAAAAGTGTTTCCGGCGTTAAGCTGTCCCGTTTGTAAGGGAACAAAGTTGTTGCTGTATTTTCTGCTTCGTAAGTCTCCATACATTCACAAGACAAGTCGGGCTTGGAATCAGGTCCAGTACCTCGTTTTTTTCTGGAGAGGAACGGAGAGTTCTGAATCCGTCCAGAGGACCTGACTTAACCGTAGACATCTCAAAGGGGGTTCATTCATCCAGGAAAGGTCTGGGACTGTAATACATGTTCCCAGATCAAACCAGGGAAACGTAGGGAACGTATATGGTGTTCAGACAAGGTCCAGTGTCTGATTTTTGAAAATTATGTGGCTCTTTTGGCAGCTTCAAACCGACAGCGGTTCACAGATGAGACGAGATCTCGACCGGAAAAGGGTGGAACGCTCCCTTTGGGTTTCTGCCTGAGCGAATGGAGTTCTGGGAGTCTTGTTCATGAGTGATGATGGGATGAAGCAGGACATTGGGACTCGTCCGCAGCGATTAAGGTGTTGCTCCGGTCTGTTATAGTGAAGAAGGAGCTGAGACGAAAGGTGAGCCCAGGACAGAACCGGACCATGCTGAAGGGATTTTAAACTCTTTCTGGCCTTGGAGTCTCTTTGACCTGTTAACTCTAAAACCCAACCACAAAAAGAAGGATGAACAACAGCTGACCATCTACACCTTCAGAGAAGGCCCAACAATTCAGCACTTATTAAAAGTTTAGTTTACATTTTTATTTAATATTTATTTCATATAAAATATTCATCTTCAATGTAGTTTTTCTTTTTTGCTAATTTGTCTTAGTTTATGTAAATTACTTTGCAGTTACATAAGAAACTGATTTAACTGATAAAAATAAGGTTATCCAATCAGATTCTTTTAAATTTGTGTGTCCAGGTGGAAACGCGTCTGAAGGTTCTTCGTCATTGGTCAGAACTCAGCAGAGAAGGCGGAGCTCAGTCCCTGCAGGAGGAGTTTGTTCAATTACCGAGTGGAAAATTAACCAATCACAGTGCTGATGTAGAGTGGGCGGGGCCAAAACATGACGCTCAGAGCCTTCAGGAATCCACTATTTCTGGACATCAAGATTTGTGATGCATTCAAAAACCCACACTGAAATTATAGCTTGCTCTAAAACACGAAGGTTAAATCTCAGTAATTATCATATTTAAGTTGTACTTTGGTTTCTTTACAATAACATTTTAGAGAAACAGTAAAGTTCTGTTCATTATTGTTAAAGTTCAGTGTGAATCATTGAAATTACATGTTGTCCTTGAATACAAAAGGCTGGGAGAGCTGCAGGGGCTGCTGGGTAATGAAGCGACTCAGAGGTCTGCGATTGAAGCTGAAGGCCTGGATTTCATTTGTTTTGTGTGAAAGGAGGAAGATATTTTTTACCATTGTCCCTCCTCTCCTTCTCGGATCAGCTGGACCACGTCTCCACTCTTGACGGACAGCTCCTGAGGACCCGCCTTCTCGCAGTCTGCCACCACGGTGTACCGTCCTGGAGCCTGGACGGTCAGAAACAGTATTTACATCCAAACCGTACACGACTACAAACAACAGCAAAACATTCTACATATCCAGCAGCTCACCAGCTTCCTCACGACTTCGTCCTCCGTGTCAGAGTTCATGGGGTCCTCGCCGCTGGAGTAGCCGTCGTTGTCCTCCGACGCGTCCACCGAGAGCGACGCCTTGTTCCAGCCTGAAGAAGAGAACGTGGGAGAGAAATGAAAAGACAAACGACCTGAACAGAAGCGAACGAATGAGACGAAAGCAAAGACACCAAGGTCGAACCAACTCCCAAAGACAATGAATGGAGATCAAACAGGAAGTGCATGGATCCACCGCCGCCTGCTTCGGAACAGATTAGAGGTTCTCGTCCAGCGGAGGAGACGACCGGCAGCCAGTCAGTGAGCGCGAGCCGAAAGCTGCTCAGTCTGTAAAGTTACGGCTTCAGGGGGGTTCTGTGCTGCTCGTGTGGACGTGGATCGAGATTAAACCGTAAATCACCGTTTCGGGTGAGGTCTTTGAAAAAATGTGAGATGAGATGATCGACCACAACTGATGGCCTGACGTCCACAAACCCAGCGCTGGAAAGGTCGAGATGATGTGTGGCGTAAATAAAACTGAATTCATAGACATGTAAAGATGGAGGCTTGGAGGACCTGAGGAGACCAGCTGTTGGAGGTTTTGGAGGACCCAAGACTAACTGTTGGAGGTTTTGGAGGACCCAAGAAGACCAGCTGCTGGAGGTTTTGGAGGAACTGAGAAGACCAGCTGTTGGAGGTTTAGGAGGACCCAAAGACCCGAGAAGACCAGTTGTTGGAAGTTTTGGAGGAACCAAGACTAACTGTTGGAGGTTTTGGAGGAACCGAGAAGACCAGCTGTTGGAGGTTTTGGAGGACCCAAGACTAACTGTTGGAAGTTTTGGAGGACCTGAGGAGACCAGCTGCTGGAGGTTTTGGAGGACCCGAGAAGACCAGCTGCTGGAGGTTTTGGAGGACCCGAGAAGACCAGCTGTTGGAGGTTTTGGAGGACCCGAGAAGACCAGCTGCTGGAGGTTTTGGAGGACCCGAGAAGACCAGCTGTTGGAGGTTTTGGAGGACCCAAGACTAACTGTTGGAAGTTTTGGAGGACCTGAGGAGACCAGCTGCTGGAGGTTTTGGAGGAACCGAGAAGACCAGCTGTTGGAGGTTTTGGA